CCGTGGAGATGCCACCCTGCTGGATCAGTGGACAGATCCTCAGTACTTTACCGCCACATTCCCAACTTTGTTTCCGACTGGGATCGGTGGCCATCTCGATGACCGGTCTGTCCCGGTGTCGCTTGCCGCTTTTGCCAACTGGGCTTTGCGTCACCACAGTAGAAGGTGCGTCGCTTCTTTGAAGATAATTAAATAGTTATGCTGGCCTCTACTTATTCGCGTAGGTTCACACGCCACAAAACCTTCATGTACTTGCTGTATGACGTGATCCAGCTTCGTAAGTCATCTATAGGCAGCACACTCCTCATCAAACGACAGAATTGGCAGTCGACTATGAATGACATCGCTTCTCTGACGGTGAACCAGCTCCAGGATGCAGCGAAGACGGTCGCAACTGGCCAGAAAATTGAGGATCCGATCATTCGACGACTGCTGCGAAATATCGAGACGATCGGGATGCAGGTCCCAGGATCCTTCGCGCAGAAACTAAGAATGCGCGCAGAAATTCGAGGTCTGATTACACGGTACGGCATGCCCGCTTTTTGGATTACTATCAACCCCTCCGACCTGCGGAATCCCCTCGTCCTGATCCTGGCCGGTGTAGAGTACTCTGGAGACAGCCTGGCCGCGGCGAGTGCCGCCATACGTGAGGCTGCTGCTACCTCTAACCCCGTGGCTGTCGCTGAGTTCTTCCATCACGTTTGCAAGGCCATCCTGGACGGCCTTTTCGCTACCAATACTGGACAGCTCGGAATCCTAGGCGATCTCTCGAACCATTTTGCTGTTGTCGAGACGAACGGTCGAGGCATGTTGCATCTCCACGGATTGGCATGGGCGAGAGGTAACCTGGCTTTCGACACCTTACGGGATAGACTACTCGAAGATAGCAACTTTGCGGCCCGAATGATTCGCTGCCTGGAGTCAATCATTACGCAAGGCATTGATGAGAGTGTTCCGCACGACCCTGCAGTGGACCTTCCTAGCATGCCACCATCAGCTAAACACCCAGAGTCCGATGACGACTTTCATCTCCGACTATCTCACGATAGCAATTGCGTCGCTCGTAAAATGCAAGTCCATTCCCGAAACCATCTCGCCACATGCTTCAAGTACCGGCAAACGGGATCCAGAAAGAATGCTTGTCGATTCGGTATGCCCGAGATATGGTTCCTGCCACTAAGATAGACGAGTTCGGCTTGATTCACCTCGCTCGAAATCATGCCTGGATAAATCCGTGGAACCCGGCCATTTCTACTTGCATCCGCTCCAATCAAGATATCTCTTGGATTCCAACGATCTCCAAGACTTTGTCACTTATCTACTACATCACGAACTACGCTACGAAAGACGACGTCTCTCCATGGCAGATAGTAGCCAAGGCGGCTTTGCTGAAGCAGTCCATTGAGAAAGCAAAGGTTGCTGACCCACCAACGAGAACAGACCTACGTCTTCGAGAAAAAGGAGTCGAAAATTTTGCGCTACGTTGCTTTAATGCTCTCTCTCATGACCGAGAGATCAGCGGTGTGCAGGTCGCTAGCGTATTGCTCCAGCTACCTACCTACTACACCGTTAACTACACCTTTACCCGCATCAACCTCTGGTGGCTAAGGCGTTATGTCCGCGCAATCATTCACCCGGGGGACGTTCCAAGTAGCAACTCTTCGGACCCCATCGCAGAAGAAACTTGCACGTATGAGGCTGGCGACACTGTCCCCGTGAGCATCTTTGACAACTATAAATGGCGCGGTCCGCACCTGGCCTCTATTGGGCTCTATTGGGCTCTTTGAATACTGCATGCTTGTAAAGACCAGGCACAGTCGCGATGCTATCGCAGACGACATAGACTTCGATCCACGCCACCCTAGATGTACCACGCATGTACAGCGCCTGGCGCGCACCCCGTCTCAAGTGGCCACTGTAACTTTCACCGGTCAGCTAACCGAATTCCAGGTCGCGGAAGATGCTGTTCCCGGAGGCCACCCAAAGACGACCGCGATCTTGAATGATATTGCCGAGTTATTATTAGGCCTCTTTGTTCCCTGGGGCCACTTGACTAATCTCTTCCGACGGTATGCGACACAACGGGACGCCTGCGTTCAAGTATGGGCGGCCGTTGAACCAACCCTCGCGTTTCACAACCGAGCTTTTGCGAGAAACATCGACATCCTGCGAAAATCCAAGGAAGACTGCCAGGCTGACACAAAGTTGTGGAAGTCTGCAAATGGCCCAGCTGGTTCGCTTCAACAAGATGCTGATGCGTTTGAATTCGCAGCTTTTCATTCTGATGGCGAAGAGGGCGAGGAATTCTTTCACCTGCAAGATGAGAATTTTAACGCGGAGACATTGATCGCCGCCTACCACACCGTCAGCAATGCATGGTATCGAGAGATGCTGGTCACTGGACGGCGGATCCCTCCCTTGCTCAGTGCCATAACCCCAACACGACGGTTGCTCCTACAGAACTTCCAGCCCCTAGATATCTTTCACACTCGTGCATACGATTCTTCTGGTCTAAGATTCCTCCCATCGTCCACGTTGCAAGAATGGGAGTTTCGACTGGAATACTTCGCTAATCCTGATCATGAGGAAAGCGCGGATCATGATGCTGCGACCTCTTGTTTTGTGCTTGACGATTTCGACGTCCAGACTGAAGATGGCATCTTGCAACCTATGCTCGCAAGCTCGGACACCATCCCTGTAATGGATGATCGCCGATCCCGGGTTGGCCAGAATCCCACTGGTGCCTCTCTTGGGTCCCTGGTCAGTGAAGTGATCCCCCTAAATTGGAAACAACGAATGATCGTCGAGAGGTGCTATCTGAAGCTTTGGCCTGGGCGGACCACCCTTATGACTCGACCCTGCGCGATCAGACCCTCCTCTATATTGGGGGAGAAGGTGGTACGGGGAAAAGCCAGATTGTCAAGGCAATTGACGCCGGTATGGACCTTCTCGCACGGAAACACGACGTCATCGTCATGGCGCCAACTGGTGCCGCGGCCGACAACATCGGCGGGAACACCTACCACACATCTTTAGGGATCTCCATCAACCGCTCACGAGGAACCACAATGAGTTCCCGAGTGAGGCGGCTCTGGTCTCGCAAAACCATCATGATCGTGGACGAGGTAAGCATGATGGATCTGACCATGGCCAGTGTGATCGATAATCACTGCAAAATCGCGAAGTCCCTGGACAGATCCTCCACCGATCTTTTCGGTGGTCTTCCCGTTGTCATCTTTATCGGCGACTTCTTCCAGTTTCCACCCGTCCGGGGCCCAGCACTATGGAAGGAGCCAAGAAGGGGCGCAGGCGAGGATGAGAATGGTCGACTCCTCTGGCATCAGTTCAGACAAGTAATCATCCTCGATGAGCAAATGAGACAGTCAGAAGATGCTCCATTTCGCGATCTCCTACTCGCGTGCCAGGATAGGGGCTTTAACTGAAGCTGATCGATCCGTCCTTAACAGCAAAGCGATCACGTCCTTGGCCAGCCCTCAACTAGAAGATGCCACCACCGTCGTCAAGCTAAACTCTCTGCGTCACCAGGTGAATCGCGTTCGAATAGAGCAATTCGCACGTATCCGATCCCAAAATGTCTATATATTCCCTGCGCATCATACACGGACCAAATCTACTGACCCTATCAACCTCCGACTTCGTGCCGATGACTTGCTCCAGCAACCAGACCAAGGCACCAAGATCCCTTTCCCGGGGTTCCTCTTGTACACACCGAATATGCCTAGCGCTATGCTGACCAACATTTGTACTCTGCTCGGCCTGGTCAATGGTGCTGTGGGAACTGCTATAGGAGTTGTGGTAGATCCGACTGGTGCGTTGATCTTTCGTAAGCGGTCAGAAACCTAAGCTCCTGACACCTTCCCACTAGATTCTTTGAAATCGACGAGCTCTACATAATGTGTACCAAACCTCCTGCCTGCATTTTACTAAAGCCGGATAAAGCAAGGGCCGCGGGATTTGAAGACCTTGAACCTTCCGTCATGCCAGTCTTTCCACTAGAGCGATCTATCACTCTGAAAAGCTATTCAGTGCGAAGGAAGCAAGTCCCTTTGTGTCCATCTTTCTGTCTCACCGACTATAAAGTGCAAGGCTCGACCCTTATAGCGGCGATCCTCGATCTCAAAGATGACCCTACCATTCGGGGACAAGATCGTCACCGGAAGTATTGCTCGATGTATGTGCAGCTATCCCGACTTCGATCCTCCAAGGGACTTCATCTCCTGCAGAAACTCGACATGCAAGATCTCCGATTCGGACCTGACCCTCAACTGCTGACTGAAATGCGAAGACTCCAAGAGCTCGAAAAGGAAACAATTTCTGCGTGGCAGGACTCCTCGAACATGCGAACCTGTGCTCCATCGTTATAGAATAAGACTATCTCATAATGGCATTTATTGCTTCAGACTGGGCCATCATTATGCCATCCCACGAATAAGCATAAAACAAGTCCAAGTCACGCGTAATTCTCACTCGGCAAACGGATATTCACCCTGTGCTGAGTCCCGTCCGTTCATGCCACTTTGACCTTTTGAGTATGTTTCTCCTATCCTTACCCAATCACACCTTACGCCCCACTATACTATGCAGCTTGTCGAGCGTATAATTGGCTGATCCTTACGGACGTGCATCGAACTTTCCTGCGACCCTTACCAAAACCAAGTGCACAAACTCAACGTTATCACTCTACTGGCCATTACTTTTCGCACTTCTTTCGGTTTCAGGGCCACAGCGTGCGCAGCGCGCGTCACCAGTCCTTTTTATTCTAAATTGATTCCGCTTGATCTCATTCGCCATGCATACTAGTCCATACACTTTTAGCTTGTTCTGATAGATACAAATTGGCTGTGCACGGGGCATCGTACTAAACCGGTTTTACAGTAGTATGTAAGCATGTGACACGCGTTCGTCGGCCCAATAGTTAACCCGATCTGAATCCACCCAATTCATCAGGTGGTCCTTTGTTTCTCGTTGAGAAACGCAAGATGGCGGCCAAAAGACGACTATTCAACCGCCTAACAATACTTCCTAGCTCACGACTGACATATCATCTGAACATTGCCTCTTCATGTACAGGCTTAAGCAAGCGTGCTATGGCTGATCTTCGCTCTCCCTTGGCACCGCGCGTCTTTCCCTGTTCTGGGTGGGATATCATCGACCCTTCCCTAAAAATCGAAGAGGAGTCAATACCAACTTACAAATCCGAAAATTTTTATCCAGTGCGCATCGGAGAGGTAATTATTCAACCGTCGATATCAAGTAGTGGGCAAGTTGGGCTATGTCTCCAGCGCGACAGTCTGGCTCTGCCGCGACTTGTTGTAAGGGCAAGCAACTTCTGGCTCATCGACCCTAGCTAACCGGCCCAGGGACCATCGTTACATAGCATTAAAAATAAACACGGCTTCGAAAACTGCGGCTCGGGAGATCGATATCTATAACCATTTAAAAACAATCAAATCTAGTCATGCTGGTCAGTCGTGCCTGCGACCGTTGATCGAAGTCTTTCAGACCCAGAGTCCAGATGGGCATGGTACTCACAATTGTCTGGTCCACTCGCCTCTTGGGATCAGCCTTGACCAGCTCACTTCGTTGCTCCCTAATGGGGTGATGAGCAGCGCCATGGTGAGGACTACCATACGAAATATTCTTGCCGCTCTAGACTTCCTTCACATGGAGGCAGGGGTTACACATACCGGTATGAAACACTTCAATAAATTACGCTACTAAAGGGTGGGAAGCATTGACCAATGGCATATTAGATCTCCAACCAAATAATATTCTCCTTGGCATCAAAGACGATTCTATTCTATGTCAATTCGAACAAGCGGAGTTTGAAACACCTGTACTACGAAAAATCCTCGAGGATCGTACCATTTACCCATCACGACCACTCCGCATCTCTTACGGAACGCCAGTTCTCTGTGATTTAGGCGAGACTCGATTAGGGACTGACCGGCAACAGGGTGATATGATGCCAGATATCTATCGGGCACCAGAGGTCATCTTGGGCATGAGTTGGGACAGCAAAGTTGATATCTGGAATGTTGGGATGGTGGTAAGACAATTGCCCACGTAATCGCTGTGTCATTTGAATTCGTCATGAAGCTAACAATCCTTAGATCTGGGATCTGTTTGAGCATCGCCACCTTTTCAGGGCGCGGAATTCCGCACGCGAATTGGATGATGGATATCATCTCGCCGAGGTGCAGGCGGTCCTAGGAAGCCCTCCTGCTGAGTTCCTCGTTCGGAGCGAAAGGAGCCACTTGTTTTGGGATAAAAACGGTTCGTGCAGACCCCTTTTCCTGGGATATATTATAGATATAATTTGGCTGAATCAAAAATCGTTGACTTGTGTATCAGGTGACTGGAAAGGCGCAGCTCCAATTCCGGATTATAATCTTGATACGCTAGAAGAAAGGCTCAAAGGAGAAGAAAAGGACGACTTTCTACGGTTTCTCCGACGAATGTTATGTTGGCTTCCTGAGGAAAGAGCCTCTGCAAAAGATCTACTATTTGATCCTTGGTTAATGCATGGTCTCTTCAAGTGAAGCCATATTTGATTGTCCCCAGGAGCACTCATCCGTGGACACTTCCAGTGGCATGTGCCAGAACGTCCCTTAAATGGCGAATGAAACAGAAGAAAGCGACAATGAGCTCTTTGACGTTCTACCAAGTTACGGCGATCTCGATATTGAAGAATTGGATGACGATTCTGCTACTATAGAGAAAGACAATTCGGAAACGAGTGAAGATCACAGGGTTGCGGCATCGGAGAGCGTTGGTGCCTCATACTCAGAGGATGAGCTGCTAGGCTCCAGTCTCTCCCATATCCAGGGCACCATGAATGGCCCTGATGCCTCGAGTGCCGTAAGTGCGACCATAAGATTGCTATGACTTCTAAGCTAATCAGAGCAACTAGGTTGGCAAGAAAATTTCGACCAGTGTCGTTGCCTCTCGTTTAGCTTCCGAAGATGGAATTCTAGTGGCACGGTATTTGGTCTTGTGGCAATCGTGGGAGCGAGAGATGTCGCATGAATATGATGTGAGCGAGGATCTTTCTTCGTAAGCCAAGTCATACCTTTGACATAACAACATGATTGGGCTTATCTGTTAGGTTTTAATATTGAAAGGAATTTTTGTTCATTCAAGCAGGACTGTAATAAGTTAAAACCCCTGGACGAAAGTCATTTCCGGCTCAATGTACGGTGGAACGGTCTGTTTCGCGTCTCTTTTTACGAACAGAATCCCAATTTATTAAATACTTCCCTTGGATGCACTATTATAGTTTAAATTGAAGATGGGGCCTTTCAGGTGATCCTAGGTTCGATGTACTGTAGCAAGCTTGCCTAAAAGTCCCATCTTGTGGAATCCGAGGATTTTATATACAATACCATACACATTGGGAATTTTTCTGACTACGTGAACTGCACTCCTATTCTGTTTAAGTAATTTTTCCAGGACAAGACAAAACGCGAAACAATCAGACAGGCAAAAGGGTAGAAAAAGGAAAAAAGGGAAGAAAAAGGAAGAGGGATTCTGCTGCCAGGATCCGGTGTATGGTGTTACGCCAACCGTACAGTGAGGTATCGGAAATGCGGAGGAGGTGCCTATCCACCACCGGGGCCGCCTGTTGATACATCACCTCGCTAACCTGCTTCATACGCACAGAGGATCCCCTCAAAAGGAGGAGCTGGATCTTCTTTAGGAGGACCAGCGATTAGTCTGAATATCATCATACCCATATCAGGCATATCTCACATTCTTCACTCGTATCATTATGGTATCAGGACGCCCTCCGGGGATTGTCCTAACAGTAGTTCTAGTACCATCGGTCGAATCGATATCCTTTCCCCCAAGAGACAATAGAAAACCAACTATCCGCCCATGCCCGTTGATGATGCCAATTGTAAAGCAGTCATTGACGGTGAATCTATGTAACTCTTCCTGGACTTCCAAAAGATAAGAAAGCATAATGAAACCCTTTTTCTACTCATATCGGACATTTTCAGAACTCAACTGGTCGCCTCTTGGTCTAGAGTCAAACTCATCTTTTGTTTGTAGTCCGGTCAATATAAGCTTTATTTTTCCTGCCTGAGGGAAACGGTACTCTACTCGGTAGAGTATCTGTTATAGTAATTCAGGTATTTTAATCTCTGTCAGTCTAAAATGAGGCATAATTCAGGCATTAACATCAGAAAATCAAGCATGCGACCTAGGGCCCCTATACACAGTCGCATTTCGGTCACAAGGCTCTCAAGTTTCTCCATTTCATGACCCAGAAAACTAGACGCTAGTATAATCTAGTCCTTACAAGGTTCAGGGTGCGTGTTGAGATGGCAGAGAAATCGCATCGAACTAGGCTTTCCAATAGAGTGAAGCCACCCAGCTAGTCAAATATATTCAGAATATATCATGATTTCTGTCTTGAGGTGTGTTAAAGCAGAAATATACTGGGTTTCAGAAAGTCTGGAAGAGGTATGGGTATTAGTAGTTTTCCGGAGGGAGGCCGGAGTATTATTATAGTCAGAAAGTGCAGGGAAAGGCCTAATTTTGGTTTGACTTACACTCTCTTCAAGCGTAAGTATCTAAACTTCGTAAAGCGAGCTGTCATGCTGATTGCCGCGGATCATTGAGGCTTGAGCTTGGAGGACTTGAAGGGTCTTAAGTCGGACTCCTTCCATGTATTTTCGTTGCTCTGTTGGATATTCTGAGATTATAGCATTCGAAGATGGTGGTCTGACTATGCTGTGCATCGCAGATGCTCCAGCAATGACAGCTAACAGTCCAAGGAGAATGAGGATGATAATAAGGAATGTCGACATCTCTGAGGGGGATCTTGAGATTGATTGGTCTAAGAAGATCGACAATTCGATAGATGCTTTACTTAGGAGTGAATGAAAATTGAAGCATCAAAGTGCAAAGGAGTACAGGAGATTTACATGGCATGTCTGCTCAAAACTGAAAATAAAAAAGTTGCTTCGGTTGAATTTGATCTTGTCCAATCTAGGAATACCACGAATACGGAATACGGAATACATCTGATTGGGTCTATGTTCTCACGGCGTGCATGGTGATTTGCCGAGGACCAACGAGTTTCTTGTTCCTGGCCCCAGTTCACGTATGGTAATGTGGAGGGCGTCCAGCACTGGTCCACTCACAATCACCGATGGACGGAGGTAAATTTCTCCCAGGGACCCCTGATGTTGGGGGCTGTGGTTAATATGGACGAGAGCAAGGGAATTTTGACAAGTGGCAGCGGGAATAATACGAAGAAGATACGGCGGTGGGTCCTTTTTTCTCCACCGTAACTTTAGGCACATAGATTATTGTATAATAATCTCGAAAAGCGATCTCCAAGCTGAATTGAAACAGGACTTGGCAATCCACGTCAGCTCTCCTTTTCAGTTATGGGGCTCGTGAAGTGTAGTCCGATGGTGGGCGTCACGGGCGGGTAACAGTAAAGTGGGTGCTGAAACTTTTACATACGGGTTTGGAAAGAAATGTGAATAATCAAATCACGTGAAAGCGTGTCCCACCAGTCCCGATTGGTCAAATTAATTATAATTAGGTAACGAAGACTAGTTTATAATATGTGTTGATTTTTAGGACTTGCCCTTCATCTAATATTTAAGTACTAGGTGAGGAGAACTGTTCCATCAATTGAGGAAATTCGAATCACCGGTGGATTGGTCGATATACAATGTCGGAAGAGTGGATACATGGGTTTTGGGCACTGCCGCCCTGTATGCTATGTAAGTTTACGTCTGAACTCTTGTACTGTTCTTAATTCTAATGGACCATAGGTTGCGAATCATGCTTTTGTCCTTGCATAGTATTTGGCAGAACTCATCAAAGGAACAAAGGTCGACAGGATCCGAGTAACCTCAATGGCACGGTAAATAAACCACGATCGCCTTTATGTCAACTTTGCTAAAGGCCAAATAGTGCCTAGGGTTCGCATTTTGCTGTTTTGTTGGACTTACTCCTGTATGCCTATATTTGGAGCGACGGAATATCCGAGCGCAATACAACCTGAGCGGGAATACGTGTGGAGACCTTTGTGGTTCTACATTTTGCATGGGAAACATTTTGATTCAAGCCGAAAGAGAAAGTATTGCCAGAAATACTACTCCGGACTCCTTAAACAACTCATATTGTGCCACGGAGACCATGCAATACAGCCCTCGCTCTTCATAGAAAGACACAATCGGTACACTCGGTCTCGTGAGACCAAAATTATTTATGTGTCATGCGCTCAGCTGCTAATCTATTAATTAAATCAAAAGAAAATTGCAGCGTTGCGGTATGAGGCCATTACTAGTCAGCAACAAAGTCGTATCATTGCATATGATATATTTCTATCTCTAAACGAAGGACCAGAACATTGAAGTTTAACTGCGCAGAGATTACGGCGTAGAAAAATAGTACTTGAACCAATCATCATTGATACAAGATTTCTTCTATTTTCCATGTCACCCTTCGCTGGTTTATAAAATTATAAGGCGCACGAGATGATGAGAAAGTGACAGGCTGGCTACGGAAGAACCAGGGAAAAGATTAAGAAAAGGAACTGATTGGTTTCTAGATCATGTCCTCAGTATGCTGCTATCTGCATAGCATCTTGAAAAAGAGCGACGAGCAAAGCAAGCCATGGCAAACGGTATGTGCAATATGCGTAGGGACATTGGCGAATGAACAAAGCGAATGGGCTCAATATTATTTGCGATGACCAGTTACATGAGTGGAGAAGGGTGGATTGACAGAAATAAGTGACCAATGATGCATGGGTTCTAGAATAGTCGTATGATGTATTAAGCTTTAAACTACTGAATACAGCATAAAAATTGATTGAAGCCTCTGTAACCTTAGAATAAGATATTTTGACAAATTTTGATCTGGAATTACTTTTCCAAGATTACAAGTTGTTTGTCACCGATGTCTTAAAATATTCTTGAGTGAATACCCAGAAATTCAAATATCTCCGTATCGATCAGTACGATTTAGACCCAGGGCTGCCGTATTCGTTTCGTACTTGCCCCATCATCACTGGTCAAAGTCTCTTTACCTATCCCCACTATTCATCGAAACCCAAAGTTTAAACATGGGTCAGATAGCCAATCATACTTCATCGTATTCCGTATCAGTACCAGTTACGTCACTAGCCTCTTATAGTGCAGGGCAACCTCGGGCGTCCCCGGAGATGAGTCAGCCAATGAAGACCCCGGGCTGCATACGAAAAAATTCGTGTTGTGTAGCTTCTCATTGATCAGCTCTTGAATCCATCTTTCTCCTTCACTCCATCTTTTTCGCCCGGCATGCCGTGTCGACGCTCGCATAAGAAATCGCGAAATGGCTGTAACGAGTGTAAGAAAAGACGCGTTAAGGTATGCTATCGCCCAATACTTAAATAGCCATGTTCGTGTTTGCACAGGCAATACCACTTCAAGAGGTATCCTCTAATGTCATTTTTCGGATATAGTGTGATGAACAGGTGCCGAAATGTACATTCTGCAATTCACGCCAGTTCAAGTGCGTATATACACGCTTATCCCCTCGGGGCCAAATACAAGAGGGCCATCTTCAAGATCCCAGCCACCAGAATCAGCATGAGCTTTCTAGCGCAAGAGAAAAGGGGGCGTTACAGCTCGACACAAGACTTGTAGAAGCAAATCTACTACACCATTATTATACCGACACCAGCATGACACAATCAGACAAAAACGACTCCAGTTACCAATTTTGGCATTTTACCGTACCCAAAATTGCTACGAGGGAGTCGTTTGCGCTGGATAGTATTCTGGCATTCACTGCCCTTCACATGGCGTATAGTGAATCCAACCAAAGGAGTTTCTGGATTACGACTGGTTTGAGCTATAATGATAGAGCCTGCTCGAAGCTGTCGAAAATGGTCGGTCGCATGTCCGCGGCTACTTTGGAATCAGCGCTAGTATGCTCTATCTTTATCACACTCTTTGTGATTGCGCGCCATCAGTTCTCGGCCCCATCGAGTTATCTGTGTGAAGCTATGAGCATTAAAGGTCTTATCCAAGGCTGTGCTATCTTTTATGATAAAGCTAAATTACTTGAACCGCGCCATGCCTCCTCAGCAAATACAGCTAGAGAGAGCGGGAGCTCTAAGCATATCTCGCCGAATATCAGCAGAGAACAGCACGCAGATTCAAGACTACACTAGTCAGTTCCTTTACTCAAAATCCCTGACAAGAATTCTTCTATTAACAGATTCCGCTAGCCTTGGATCCCGCATCCTAGCGCAGCTTGAAAATACCAATACAGGTTCCTCGTCACCGAATCATCAAGTTTACTTGGCAACTCTCCAATCTCTGCTCGACATGTTCGATAATAAAACCCATCGTGAAAGTGGTCGATCAATATACTTATGGCCCCATTCCTTCCAGGACGCTTTTACGGAGCTACTTCACACAAGAGATTTTATTGCTCGCCTTATCTTTCTTCTTTACCCTTGGAGGTTACACGCTTTCAAAGATTCATGGTATATTGGTGACTTTGGAGAGAAACTTGCCGATGAGCTTTTTCCCTTGCTTGAACCTGTGCCTCAGGAGTGGTTGGAAATTTTTAGGTCTATCAGGGGCGATTTCAATAACTACGTTGATTTTTGTTGTGCAACATAGCTATCTAGCGGTTCGCGGGCTGCTAGGCGCAACAGTCTTTATTTGCATACCTAGGAGTGGATGATAAAAGGCTTACTGTGCTGTTTCGTCTAAGATATAAATCTAAGATTTTGATGTTTTGTTAGGTAGTTCTTAACAGACAATAATCCTAAATGCAACTTTCGTGACATTGTCCGGTATTTTTGGAGAAACAGAATATAAGTGTCAGAACCGTATCCTATATCCATCATCATTAGAACAAGTCTCAGAAAGGCATCTGCAGTGAGGGCTGATGGGCCTATGTATGGCAACTACAAGCTCTCACTACAAGCCAAACCCCCCAAAGCGGTCAGATTGGAGAAGCTAAATAGCACAGTCCATTGGGGGCCGCCTGCCAAGATGGCAGCAACCATCCAATAAAACAGCTTTGGGTATACAGAATACAAGAAAATGCAAGACACAGGATACGAAATACGAAATACGAAATACGAAATACGCAAGTGGAGAATCCTCCACTATTCTCGATCGTCCGTCAACCCGAGCTGTTTCTTTTTCTAGTCTATCTTATTTTTTTTTTATTTCTTTTTATTTCTTTTGGCATTGTCCGATCTTGATATTTGCTGCACGAAAGCTGTACTCTCAGCCCAATCATTTATCTTATACTATGTCGATTATCTCGACAGATACTTTCATATTGGGATTGATCTCCTTAATAATTTTTGCCTCCTCGCCCCTATCACTATAACTGTTGCCTGAAGCTTCATACTATGACTCACAGGCTTAAGTTCCTCAGTTTTACCCCGATAGCACTAGTCTGATCTACTTGAGGCTATGCTAGAACCCAAGACCACTTGTAATAACTGTTGGATCCGCTTTAAAACCACACTCGCCCTCCTTACTGTCCTGTTTCCCTGTACAATTCTCGACATACAACCAAGCTTCTTCTTCTTCCTAGAGATTATCTGCACAATGGCTACTTCCTCAACCAACGTCTACGGCGCTTATGTCCCATCACGGGCAGCAGCAATCATTGTCGCGATTATTTTTGTTATTCTCACTGCGTTGCAGCTATGGAGAATTGTCGCGAGCAGACGATGGTTTGGTCTCGCTATTGTGACTGGATGCCTCTGTAGGTGACCTCATCTTCAAATCACCTCTCTAGGTTCCCATAAAAAATGATATCTAATCTTCTAAATAAATATAGTCGAAATTGTGGGCCTTGCAGCTCGAGCCTACTCACATAATCACCTGGCACAAACGAAGCCCTACATCATTCAAATCTTACTTATCCTCCTTGCACCTATTCTGTTCACAGCCTCGATATACATGTTTCTCGGTCGTTTGATCAAGGCATCAGGGCATCAGGGATTGTCCTTCATTCGAATAAATTGGCTCACCAAAATCTTTGTCCTCGGTGATATCTTCTGCTTCCTCGTCCAGGCTGCAGGAGCGGGTTCATTGGTGAATGCAGATACAAGCACTTCGATCGACTCCGCACAAAATATCATCTTAGGTGGCCTTGCTCTCCAGGTCTTATTCTTCTGTGTTTTTGCTCTCTGCGCCATCGTCTTCCATGTCCGGACCCGGGCGCCCCACATTCGACGATCAATAGATCCGAGACTTCACTTGAATGCCATGCTCTTCACGCTCTACTTTTGCAGCATCTTGGTGACAGTCCGCAATATCTACCGCCTTATCGAATACAAGAGCGGGACAACAGGCTATCTTCAAGAGCACGAATGGCCTACTTATGGATTAGACGTTGCCCTGATGGCTATCATTGCCGCTGTGACTATTTCATGGTACTCTGTCAATATGGAAGGTTTCTATCGTGATGCGATTCCTTTGACGTCGAGGGATGGACATCCATGAGAGGCGCCCAAGAGTTTGGCTTTTTCAATTCAGCGTTTGTTGTACTCAAAATTAGACCTTTCTTTTGCTTGTCAGCTTGTTGTATTTTTTCTTTGTCTTCTTCTGAAAAATTTGGAGTTCCTCACTCTTAACAATTTCTTTTTGTCGGCATCCTGAGGCTCTGCCTACAGGGCCTTCTTTGTAAGTTATGAAGGTCTCTCTATATGTAGAGGGAAAACTAATTCGCAATAACTAGACACTCTTTATATATAGATAAAAATTTAACCTAATGTCTAACATTACCATGAATTTTCAAAGTAGGACAAGCAGATTAATAGTAAGATGCTGATTTGAGACACTCGTGGACTTCTATGTCAAGGGCTAACAATCTTCTATTCCAACCATTGCTACATTGCTACAATGGAGACGCGTGAGATATATTTGGCCCGTACGGGGCACCTGCAGTCTGAACATGGTGATGTAGGTCTCCTTGACAGAAGACTACAGCGCCGCGAGGGCTGCAGGCGGGCCCAAATGACCCGATGGGCCAATTAAGGATGGTGGAGGGGCTGGTGGTAAGGAAGAGGAGACCGGAGTTGGATGACCGGTCTGGAATTGACGGTTCCAGGTGTACAGTATTGTTGGAGGAGTCGTGAAGTAGAGGCGGAAAGCTTCGGAAGACCACCTTCCGAGAGCTTGGATGTGGTCACTTCTCCGACCCGAATCGTGGGCGTGTTGGGCTGCCCCTTTTTCGGAAACTATGACCCTTAAGTCCTGTGGTACAGTGCCGTCCGTTATTGCCTTCCATGACGGATGTATATGAGATGCCTTTTGCAACCCTAATCACATGATACTCAATCCTGATTTGGCTAGCCAAAATACTTGTAACAATGTTTCGATCTCGAACGGTATAATACCAGACTCGTATAAAACAGGAATGTGTTGTATATTTGTGTTTAATTACAGCTCCAAAAATAGCCCCCTCGGAAATAGTTCCCGCAAAAAGAGTTCCCTCTCTTTCCCTCTCTCCCTCTCTTTCCCTCTCTACCTCTCTTTCCCTCTCTTTCCCCCCCCTCCGCTCCCAGGATGCCATCCATCCTCCCAATCCATATGGCGCGAAATATCTATTCCTGGCAGCTTGTCGTTATTATTCACATCTCATGCAGTAAAACGAGACTTGCCACATCACAAATAGCCAAGGTATCCAAATGCAACGAGCGTTCCGTTACTAACATCCGAAACAACATGCGGTTATTCGGCAGTGCCAGGTCTCCTCCAATCTCTCCCGGCCGTCCATCGAGTATCATACAAAAGTGATGGTACAGTAGAATTCGAAAACAATTTACCCCTAGGACACGCACTTCTTCCCCTGTGTCCCACTTATTTTGTGCTAATCCAATCAAACCAGGGATTGCCCCACCATTCTTGATGCATCTCTGGTAGATCATCAAGGTTACCGTAATTAGAGTTTCTGGCATTAGGCAGACCGTACTGCCGAAACGCGTGATCAATTACATGAAAGATAGTGGGCCTCTTCCTTCTAGAACGGACAAAAGAGGAAAGTGTTTAGTCACCACGCGGCTGCTCGCCGAACGAGATGCTCAGATCGATGCCGCGCAGGTCACTGGCCAGCAATCGGTGTGGCGGGATGTGTATCGTGGCATGCGATGTCCCGGGCCTCCGTGTCGCCATGAAGGACAATATAGCTAGCAAGATCCGGAAGAAAAAAAACATGACACAGTGAGAACCCCACTTAAAGGCCCTCATTAGATACATGGAATAAGGAGGAGTTGTTGAGGCCCATAGTGACATTCCTGACCGTGTTTGTAAGCAGCTCTATGATAAGGAGACCCAGCGACTTGATAAAAAGAAAACCGCTGATACTGTAACTCTACGACCAATTCGATGTATCATCCAATCAACATCCATTCTCTCCCAGCAGTATCACCTCAACCACCATGCCTCCCCTATCCGCTAATAACGCTAGGCCGGCTACGGGCAGCATTGCTGAACTGATCATGGCTCATGGACTGCTTGTTGTAGCCGTGGAAGAATATACCGACTGGCAGCGGGCGCGGGTGAGCAATGAGTCTCTTAGGGACAATACCATTAGAATGATGCATGCCCTGCCGTGGTAAAAAGTACTGGAGTTACCGAAATTGGTTTGATGGCATAGCTAGCCCCATGGCTATTATGAGTCCTATGCAGCCTAGACGGTTCCCAAAAAGGTTGTTCTATGGCGAGGCTGAGGACGTGCTTCCACAATCATCAACGTTTGCGAATTTTCGCCTCTCTGCCGGAGTTGAGACAGGCCGAGACTTTTGCTTGTGTATCATTAGTTGCTGCACGGGTGGAATCAGTTCAAGTCTCAACGGCATAGTATTAGGTGAATCATCACTGAATGATCTAAATTATGATCCTTCACCATCCAATTTCAGAATCTGTTTTGGAAAACTTGCCGCTATTACTGCATAGCTGCATAGCTCGGCGTGAATGCTTTTCTCTCGACATCATCTTGCATATGAGTGTCTTGGTTTATTTTTTTTACACTACATCACCCCCCTATACTAGCCTTTGGATCGCCAATTTGTCTGTCCCGGCTTCGCCGCATTGCTTTCAGGCCCGTTCTGTATTCACGACTACAAAAAAATGGATCTCGATGGCAAACCATCGTATAGACACTCAAAGCTCGACTTCAATCTCTTTCGTAAAAGGCCCGTCGGTATGTGATATCTTATTCCAGCTATGGCAAACATAAAAGCTAATCCTAATCAAGACAAGCCTCCATCTCCGGTGCATCGCTCCTCTGAAGCTTTTGTGAACAGGTTTCCTTTCCTATATTTGAAAACCGAGGAGCTTGTCTGGAAATGGGAGCAGTCGAAGCTCTGTGGCCAGAGCATCAACACTACCTTGCAGTTCACCATCATGCCACAAGATCACCCTTCCAACAGACCTGACAGGGCAGGCAAATTCGTTTCCATGCAGAATGGAAGTGTAATCGTGATGCCTCCGGCCTACTTGACGAATCTGAGACCAGAGGAGTATCCAAGTTGGATTTCTTCATGCAGGAAACCTGACAGATATGACGATCATTCTCCTTGGCTTGCCAGACTGGAAAAGGCCTTCCAAAGTCCGGGAGAGCATGCTTCGTTTTGAGAACTTGCTGGCCGGGAAAAGCTTTCCACTTTTCTATAACTGGTCAACCGAATACTGGATCTCAGATTCGGTTATTCTCGATCCACGATCAACCGATGAGATTGAGATGATCAGTATGGGGAAACGAGCGGCAAGTAGTTACAATCTGAGGTACCTTTGCGCTGGCCTCCCATCAACCACGATGGGACCTCTTTTCAACACGCTTGTGACCTCGGGGAATGCAGACCCAGCCTGCTTTGAGTATTCGATGGGGTTCATTTGGATTCATGCGTCGATAGATCCGAAGAACTTCAAGATAGAGCTTGACACCTCTATCGATACGTCTTGCGATCGCGTTGATTACATGCTACAACAGATGAGAGAGAGGTCGTGGTTGGTTCAGGCAAAGCTAGCGATCAAGCTCGAGAGGTCCAGCAGGGTGAAGGCCGCTATCTCGGTTCAGCTTTTGGGCGTTTCTCAAGTTCGCGTCACTTCTACTCATAAACCAATTACTCATCAGTAGGATGTGTTTCAGAGCCAGGCGCCATACCTTTCGCTTGGGCCATACTATTTGTGTTGAAGTATATTTTCAAATTCAATAATCTTTCCTATAGAGTCATACCCTCGCGTGGCGTTGCCGCCGTACCGGAAAGACTTACTGAAGGGACGAATTAGTATATAGACTCGGCCACTGAGCAAAACTGTACCTCCATGCAATCTGTAAAATTGGCTGTCTCGGTGGGTAGGTATACCCATGAGACGCCACATTGACAACGCATTTGCTGTATGCGCAGAAGACAGATTTATTGAGTACCACGTATAGAAAGCCCAAGAATAGTCTTAGTCCGAACATTCTACAGCTCGTAATTAAAAGAAGGCAAGAGTGTACTCAGCGTAAGAGGGCTTATACGACGAATGCTCAATGAATTTCTGCATAACTAACCGTCCTCGGAGACCCCTGAACCCGTCAAATTTCTTCATCACTGCGACCGCCGGGTCCGCACCGTCTTCTGCTCCGGTCCATCTGGCGTATCAGTCATATCGCTCTTCATCCGCTCCTCTGCTTCCGACTCGACAGCCTCCAGCCGGTGGAGAAGGTCTGCCAGGTCATTGCGGAGATCCTCGATACACTTATTTTGGTCCGTCAATTTATAATCTTGGGATCTGGCCTTAGGTTAGCCCTTTGTTCATTGCTTGGAGGGAATGTAAAACTCACTTCAACCGCACGTCTAGTCTTGAAGTATCATCTGTTAGTAGACACTTTGCTTTCACGATAAGGGGTGACTCGGACTAACTCTGCGAGGCATGTGAGGGTAAGTACGTTGCTATCTCTGGGCTGAGGTAAGTGTCCGCCGTATTGAGGACTCGGTAGTACCCCGTGATCGTGGGTACTGGGAGGATCGCCCTGTTGCGGAACAGCTTTGTCGTTCTTGTTCGAGGGTGTCGATGGGTCTTCCTCGGTGGTGTCTCCAGGCAGAGATTGAGATGGGCTTCGGCTGTATTCAGACTCCGAGGATGACAAGGACAGTGCGCGCTGCAATCGACGTCGGAAGTCTGGCATCTGCCGGGTGCGTGGAATTTTTCGAATGGCTCCCATAGTCGCGTATCGAATCAAGCGGGGTGTCGCCGACAAATAGACCTGTTTGAAAATTATGACGAGGGTGGCTCTTATATGATTCGTGACAGGTGTGAGACTCTACATGTGTGAGAATAGATCCGGCGAGCAAATTTCCGCTGTGGAAGACGCCGTCTCCCTGGGCCTACGCCAGCCATATCTAGTCTCACATTGTGGAAATTCAAAGAAGCGGGGCGCACTAAGCATTTGGCAACACTTCAACGGATTTTCAACGGGGCAAACGTTGACTAACAAGCTACCTGCACGAATT